CCCGACACTACCTAACCGTAGAGGCCATTGACAATGTTGGCCAGGGCAATCGGAACACGGCCCAGATCATTGTCGACATTCAGGATGTCAACGACAACGCCCCCACCTTCCCCCAGCGACAGTACGAAACGAAGCTACTGGAGAACAAGGGCGAGTTCGAGACGCCCCTGCAATTAGAAGCCCGCGACCTGGATCTGAATGGAACCGAGAACAGCCAGATCACCTATGAGATTGTGGAGGGTCTCTACCGCTCGAACTTCACCATTGATCCGCAGAGCGGACTTCTCCAGCCGCTACATCACTTCGACTTCGAGGAGCTGGTGGACACCGATCGGAGGAGTGTGCGCCAGGCCGGCGGCAGCATGCGAGAGATCGATCTGCTTGTGCGGGCTCGCGACTCTGGCATACCCATGCTCTCGACGGTCGTGCCGGTGCTCATCTATGTGCAGGACGTCAACGACAATCCGCCCATCTTCCAGAAGAGCTTCTATGCGAAAACAGTGCCCGAGGACCTGCCCGGCGGCAGCTCAGTGCTCCAGGTCACGGCCATCGATCGCGACGGCTCGTCGCCCAACAATGCCGTGGTCTATCGCATCCAGACGGGGGCCAGCGACAAGTTTATCATCAACTCAGAGTCGGGCGTGATATCGGTGGCACAGGGTGCCAACTTGGATCCCGATCTCACTGACAGCAAGCGTTCGATCTACACTTTGTCCGTGGTAGGTACTGGAAGATGTTCCTTCTCTATAAATACTGAGGAAATTTGGTCTTAACAGCTCGCTATAGATGGAGGACTGGGCAACTCTCAACTGATGAGCACAGCCACTGTGAACATCAGCATACAGGATGTTAACAACAAGCTGCCGCTGCTGACGGACCTGCCCGCCCTGAAGATCGTGGAAAACACGCAAGTGGGGAGCCTGGTCTATCGGATCAGGGCAACGGACTCCGACCAGAATGCCATACTGCGCTACAAGTTGAATGCGGAACACTGCGAGGGCCGGAACGAGGAGGGGGCTCTGGTAAAGGCCAGCGAATACGACTACCTTGGGGCCTTTGAGGTGGACCCCATCGAGGGGAGCCTGAAGGTTGTCAAGCTGCTGGATCGCGAAAGGGTCGAACACATTAAGCTGGCCATTACAGTCGAAGATCTGGCAGCGGCCAAGGGCAAGCAGATCGTAGAAGGTGAGATCAAAGAAGGAGTCAGACCATCGACCAAAGACACTGTAAACATTAAGATGAGTAACGCACTTTAGCTATGCCTGGCAGCTGACAGTCGAAACGTACTCTTTACTTTATAATTTAATTATTGTACTTTGCCTTTGCTTAGACCCTAACCATATCTTCTTTCGATATCCGATTAGGTTTCCTCAACATTCAGGTGCTGGACGAGAACGACAACAATCCCAAGTTCAAGCAGTCCTTCTACCGCCAATCGATCACGGAGAACAGCATCAATGGCGCCATGGTTGTCAATGTGCTGGCCTACGACGTGGACAGGAATCGGACCATCACCTATGCCCTGGAGGGCAATCCCACCTACCGCAGTCTGATCCACTTGGATGCCCAGACCGGGGAGATTGTGGTGGCCAATAAGATCGATCACGAACAGCATCAGTGGCTGAACTTTAGCGTACGGGCCACAGACTCTGGTCTGCCTCCACGCTCCTCGCTAATCGATGTCTATGTCACGGTGCTGGACGAGAACGACAACAATCCGTACTTCATTGGAGGGAGCAAGAACTACACGATCAGCGAGAAGGCAGCGCCGGGAACGAGGGTGGCCACCGTCCAGGCGGCGGATGCGGATTCGGGGGACTTTGGCAAGATCACGTTCCTCATGGATCGCATTAGTTCGCAGGGAAAGTTCACCATAGACGCGGACACTGGTGTCCTGACGGTGGCCGATCGTTTGGATCGCGAGACCAAAGACTCATACAATCTGGTCATCGAGGCATGGGACAACTATCAGTTTGGGTTTCTGGCAGGAGAGAGCCGCAATGCCTTCAAGCAAGTGTTGTAAGTACTTGACCGTGAGCGGTATGGGTTTAGAGAGAGCATTCCATATATGTAAGAGTCCAATCAATGCCTTTCAGCATTTCCATCCTGGATGAGAATGACAATCCGCCGGAGGTCAGCCTGCCCACCAGCTGTGTGCTAATCACGGAATACCATGAGCTGCACGAGCGCATTGCCAGCATTGTGGGCAAGGATGCGGATGATCCAGCCACACCCAATGGACGATTGGACTTTGCCATTACCCAGGGCAACAAGGAGGGTACGTTCGCATTTAAGAAACCTTAACCAAACGAATATAATATATTTGCCCTCCTTCCGTTTCAGGTATCTTTGAGCTGCGACAGCTGGATGCGTGGAACGCCCACATCTTTGCCAGCCAGAGTCTGCGCAACAAATTCGGCAACTACAGCCTCACCATAACGACCAGGGATTTGGGTCTGCCAGCGAACATCGTGCACAGCACTCTGGACATTTGCGTGTCAGACTTCAACGATCACGCCCCGGTGTTTGTCAGGCCCTTGCACAACACCACGGTGCGTGTGCCGGAGAATGCCACAGTCGGTAGCCTGATACTGCAGGCCTATGCCAGCGATGCGGATATGGGCCAGAATGCCCTGGTGCGCTACCGCCTGAAGCCTGATCCGTTGGGAAGCTACAAGATGTTCGAGGTGAATGCCAACACGGGAGAGCTCTTCCTCCGGGAGCCACTCAACCGCGAGAGGCAGAAGATACACGAGGTAGGAAGTCCCAAAACACAGAGTAAAAGATGTGAGTGATCATTCTTTTTTTGTTTAAAACAGATACGCATAGAGGCATACGATCAGGGTCTGCCCACATCCCTGAGCACCGATCTCGATCTGACCATATACGTGCGCAACATCAACGACTACGAGCCGCAGTTCATTGTCAACGAAATAGCCGTGAACTTTACGGAGCACTCGGACCCGGGGGCGGAGCGTATTAAGCTGCCCGACACCATAGACAAGGATCAGCTGGAGCTGGACGATCCAGAGGAGACGCCCAGTCAAGTGTGCTACTTCATAGTGCGCGGCAATGAGGCTGGCTACTTTCGCCTGGATCCTGAAACCCATGTCCTGACTCTCGACCGCGAGCTCGACCGCGAGATCGTGGCAAACTTTACGCTTTATGTAAAGGCCACGGAGAATTGCAATAATGATTCGCTCTCCAGTGATCATCAGCGTCGTCGAATGGCCATTGAGATAAACAACAAGATCGCTGGGCATCTGCGACAACCACAGAACAATTACGACCGCTTCAAGCACTCGCGTCACCTGCGGTCTACCGAATACGAGACGGAGCAGGCCACATCCTCGTCTGCTGAGACAGAACTGGTCTCCTACGAAAGCTACGACAGCAGCGTGGAGGATCACCCAGCGGAAGCGGATCACCCTCCGCCCGAAGCGGACAGTACGATTGTTCGGGTTCTGGTCAGGGTTCTGGACATCAACGACAATCCGCCTCGATTCCGTTCCAAGATCTTCACTGGCGGCATCACAACCAATGCGGACTTTGGCCTGAAGTTTATGCGCGTGGAGGCCACGGACGCCGATGAGGGGGCCAATGCCAAGATCGGATACTATCAGGTGGGCGAGATCAGGCAGACCCTGTCCGAGGGACTGGAGAATGTGCGAAAGGCCCCGTTTCTGCTGGACGCGGAGACGGGTGAGGTGCAGCTGAACTTTGATCCGCAGAAGGGAATGAAGGGGTACTTTGATTTTGTGGTCCTGGCCAACGATACGTTGGGCATGAGGGACGTGGCCCATGTGTTCATCTATCTACTGCGCGAGGACCAGAAGGTGCGATTTGTCTTCCGACTGCAGCCGGATGAGCTGCGTGCCCGGGTGGACACTTTCAGAGAGTAAGTCCTAAAGGGAATGCTCTGAGGGAATCGTAGTTAAGTGCCTCCTTCTATTTCTCGCAGCACCTTGGGCAACATAACCGAGTCAATTGTCAACATCGATGAGATCAAAGTGCACGAGAACAAGGACGGCTCGGTGGACAAGACCAAAACGGACCTGTACATGCATCTAGTCGAGCGGGAGGATAACTCCATCTACGAGGTCGCCGAGGTGCTCAAGCTGATCGACTCGCACATCGAGAGCCTGGACGAACTGTTCAAGGATCTCAATGTGCTGGACACACAGCCGGCGGAGGCGCAACTCCTCACAGCTGGCCCCACCAAAGGCCCCCTGTTCGTGTGGCTTGTCTTCACCAATCTTTTCATGGCCACTCTATTGGTGGTCATCCTGGCCCTGTGTGCGTCACAGCGGAACGGCTACAGAAGACAGCTGCGAGCCGCAAAAGTCAATATATTCCGTATGTCCAACTCCCATTTTGGCCATGGAACAAGGTCTCAATTACCGATTTCCTCTATATTTTTTTAGGCGCCCACTCATCGCTGTCTCTGCAGCACACACACGAGCCGGCCACGCGGGTGCCGAACACCAACAAGCACAGTGTCCAGGGTTCCAATCCCATCTGGCTGAAAGGCTACGAGAACGAGTGGTTTAAGAACGAGGAGACTGCTAGGTGAGCGTGCTAAAGAAGCGCCCAATTTCTGGCTAATACTTAGATTCCCCCTATCTGATGCGCAGCGTTGGCGGTCAGGACTCGCTGGACGACAACTTCCTGGCGGTGACCACCGCCCAGGACATGCACGAAACCCTCAAGGGCACCGCCAAGCTCTTCAACAACAGCAACGATCTAAACCGCCACTTCAATCTGTACAATCAGATCGATAAGCTAACGAATAATGCTCAGATTCTGGCCCGCAAGCTGGAGACCACAGAGCTGTAGCCACAGTCCATCCAACTATTTATGACGCCTAGTCTAGGGTAGTCTAGGATAGTCTTAGGCCTAGCATAGGACTAGCTAATAAGACCCATGTAAATATATGTATATTGAAGTGTACGTCAATGGATTCTACGTTATTAATATTATTATTAGCTGTACAGACTTACTGCGTATTTCAGGTCCGATATTAATTAAAATATAAACAAGGCTTCTGGTCACGAATGATAAAATATAAGACAAACGAATGCGCCCTAACTGGAACGGGCACGAATGAGTTCTTTCAATTAGTTGCGGCCACGAGGCTGTGTGATAACACTTACCAGAAAATTCAGAAATTTATGGTAAAAATGTGTGATTCTGGGTTTTGCTTCCGCTTGGTACACTCCTACACCACAGTGCAGGCAAATAACAATCTGCGAGCACTGCACCTGCAGCCGGACCTAGGATCCCAGGTGCCCAGGTGGCCTCGCGGTATGTTCGTGATACAGGATACAAAAAAGAAACAATATTTTTTCACAGTCACAACAAAATTTATAGATGCTCAACCACTGGTGGTGTTTGGATTGCAAAGAAAAAAATTGTTTCTTGTTTGTTTGATTATTTCGTGTTGCAGGAAACGACTTGTTTGGCTGTGAAGTTGTAAATTTGGAATACGTCTCTACTGTGAGGGCCAGGTCAGGGCCTTCCCAGATACAGATCTCACGAGCGTGCCTCTCCACATGACATATGAATGAAAAACAATCCTCTTTGGTTTATTTTTTTTTTTACTAAAAATATTGTATTATATTTTCAGGGTAAAATATTCTGTTGCCATAAAATCAATCAATTCTTTTTTCATTTGCTGTTGCTTTTGTATTTTTTTTGTTGTTTGTTTCGTTTTCTTAAAGTATTTTGTTGTTTTTTTTTCGTTTATAATAGTTACACAAATTAGATCACAAAAATGCACATAAATTACAAAAATGAAATTGTACCTCATACCGAAAAACTTGGGGAAAAAAAACTTCAAATGATGGAAACGAGGCGGCTTCTGGAGGGCGACGACGTGGACGACCCATCTCTGCAGTTCTTACAAATTAAACCAGTTTTGGTTAACAAAAATATCGTAAAGCATAGAGAAATACACAGTATAGTTTTATAGTTTCGGTATAATATATATAAAAAAAACAGTAATTTTGTTCGCGTCACTTGCACAGCGAAGTAGATCAGAGTAGCGTTTGGGGAGGTTGGGGGCAGGGGCAGGGGCAAACCCATTAATCAGTAATGTAATAAACTAACTCAAAAACGAATACATACAGTTCAGTTACATCTATATATAGAGATAGAGAGTGAGAGTGCGGGAGTTACACATATCATATCGTATCATATAATATATTACAGATTTTCCATTATGTTTATAAGTAGTTCCATCTTTCTGCTCGTTCGTTCCCTCAAAACTTTCCCGGAAAGGACAATCCCAATGAGCGATGAGCATGTGTGCCTGTGTTTGTGGGGGGTAATCGGTGTGCGATGAAGGATGCTTCAACATATACAAATACATAGTTATCGAGGGGTTTATTAAACGTATTTTTCATTCATTTAATACTTGCTTAGACGACGGATGAGAAATGAAAACTTACAATGGATGGTTTTTGGGGTGTGGGTGTGGTTTTTTGGAATGAAATGATTTGGGGAAAGTCTGGAAGGGGGTTTGGTTGGTTATTGGTTGGTTTTGAGTCGTATTTTATCGTATTTTAAAGCGTAACAGTTTTCTTGCATGTTTTTGTGTATATGTGTATTGGTTTTATATATAGATATATATACTATGTACTCGTATATATCCCTTTGTTTATATGTATGTAGTACGTGTGTGTCACTAACTAAAGAAAATTACAGTTTAGTTAAGTTATATTTATACTTGATATTTTACAGAACAATCGCAAGGTAGAAAACTCAAAAAACGTTGCTTGGTTGGGGGGCAGCCTAATTTTGCTTTTTAAAATTGTTTAGGCTAAATTAAAATCGAGTTCAAACCCAAGTTCTACATTTATCTCTGCTATTTTTTTATTTTTTGTTGATTTTTCTCTCTCTCTTTTTTTTATTTGCTTTGTTGGGGGTGGTTTAATGGTTTAAATTAAAGCTTACTCTTAAAATGTATGGTGTTACATATATATAGTATTTTTTGTTTTGTTTTGTATATATATATATATATATATTTATATATGTTTTATATAAGTATATAGTATGTATATTTAGTAATACGATTCGCGGTTTCAAACTAGTCCCTTGTACGTTGTATGTATGTGTGTGTATAAATGTATCTGTGTATTGTATGTGTGTGTGTATGTGTGTGCAAATCAAGTATTATACAAAAACTACTAATAATCATTTTTATCCGTCTGCTGTTTTTGTATTTCTTTGCTTTGTAATTGATTGCAATTCTCATATCTGGATATCTGAATATCTGAATACCTAGATATCTCGATCTCGAGTGTAAAGTGTTTCTGCTGTAAATGCGCTCCCACAAAGTTGTTTAAACAAATTCATTTGATAACTTAGCTGAACGATGAATGCCATCGAATTTAATTGAAAATCGAAATCTGTTGCTATGATTCCCTACAGACGTGGGTTTTGGGTTTTTCTCTAGTGTCCGTGTTCTGATTTCTAGTTTCTGTTTCTGTTTCTGCTTCTGATTTCTTTCTATATAATTCTTGTCTGTATATCTGTCTCTTCTTTATGTATGTATAATAAAGCTGCACTCTACAATCCTCGTTTGTTGTTGTTGTTGTTGTTGTTTTGCTAACAATTAAGATTACATTAAGAGCTATATAATGCTACTGCTCTGTGTGTGTGTGTGTGTCGGTTGTGTGCATGTGTGAGTGTTCGTGTCTTCTCACACACATATACTTTCAATCTTTTTTTGTTTCTTTTATTAGGTATTTGTTGTTTAAGTTGCTTTAAATATTTTATCGAAATTTTTTTACTCAATTTTTTCGAATTTTTAGTGTTTTTTTTTTGTTTTTGATTTTTACATTTAACCCATATCTATACGATTTCCCTATGCATATGTGCAGGCGCATATACTATAAAGATACATACATTCGAGCAGCATTTATATAGAAGTGTGTGCCGAACCAGAATCTGGTGAGAAATTTGCCGAAAACACCTAAACTCTTCACGAAAGCTGCTCAGAAGAAAGTGCAGTTCATAGCTCGAATGATCTCTTGAAAGTGACGCTAGCCGTGTGCCAGCTATAGCCTTTGATCTGGTCCTCGGCCGGGACCACCGCGTCTTAGGTCTGCACCAAGCCGCGTATGTCTGCCACGGAGGCGGAGGCCGGCGTGCAGCTGCTGTTGGCGCTGTTGCTGCTGCTGGTGCCGCCGCCGCTGCTGCTGTCGACGAACAGCGTGGCGGCATCGATGCCGGAAGTGTTCGTTGAGCTAATTACCCCGTCGGCTAACATATCATCGAGGAAATCGCTAAGCAGGTCGTTATCCTCTGAGCCGACAATCGTCTGTTGCAGACACTTGAGGTTCTTGTCGGCGATCTCGAGCGCCCGATCCATGGCCTCGCACTCGGCTTGTTGCACTGCGTTGGCAGGCGGCCAGGACGAAGGCCAGGGCGAGGGCGGACAGGACAGCGATTGCAATGGCAGCGAGGGCACACATTAATTAGTACAACGAAAAACAAAACAAGTAAAATTGCTGTTAAATACACACCGGATTGAAAGAGCTCGTTGAAGGCATCGTCCGGCAGCGTGTCGAACACATTTACCAGATCGTGCTCCTCCAGCAAGTGGGCGCCATTCAATGCTATGTCATCTGCAATATAAAGTAAACGACGAGTGTTAGCCACAGTCTGCCTCTACAGTGATGCTCCAAGTGTACGTACCAGCATCGTTAGCGCCAATCAGCTCCGACTCGCTCAGGCCACCCAGTCCCGTGTCCTCGGAACTGGCGTACGCCGAGCTGTTCTCGCATATACCGAACATGTCCTGGCCCAACAGATTCGCCGTGTTGGCCAGGGCCAGAGCCGTCTGGTGGCCGTTGTGCGTGGGCTGACCAATGGCATTGCCGAAGGCAGCGTTGAACGAGGGGAAACTATTGTTGTTGCTGTAGCTCATGTTGTTGTTGTTAAAGTGTAGGCTATTGTTGTTGTTGTGCAGGTTGCTTTGCGGCTGCAGATCCCCACCAGCCGCCGCCAGCTGTGCCACAATTTGGTTGATCTCTTCGGCCTTGATATTGATATTGGCACTGGCCAGCATATTGAGGCCACTCTCCAACTGCTGCACGTGGGGATCAGCCTCGAATTTAAACAGCGCCTGATGCTGTTGCTGCTGATGCTGCTTTTGCTGCTGTTGCTGCTTCGGTTGGTAATCCCCGCTGAGAGGAGCTAGCGCCGGCGGTATGGACAAGTGTGGCAAACCGGGTAGCGGTGGCACAGATACTGGGACTGGCGCGGGTGTGAACGTTTGCGTTGGCGTTGGCGTGGGTGTGAGCGGCGTATAGGACAGCTGGGAATGAGAGTTGGCCGAGGAACACTGCGAATTGCTGGCTATGGACTCCAGCGAGGTGGTGCTGCTCTTTCGCTGCATCACTACCGGCGGCATCACCGGTAGCGTGGTAGGCTGGCTACTAATTTGGTGGCTCATCTGATGCTCAGTGTTCGGTTTCCTGCCCCGTTTCTGCGGCCGACTCACAGGATTGGGATTCGCCTTGCGTTTGCGCTTAGCCGGCACGGCCGCTACGGGTGTTGCCACTGCCAAAGGCAGATTCGCGGCCGTCAGCTTGGCCATTGGCCGGACCATCTCGAGGCCGGCACGAAGGTGGCTGTGGATTGTGCACAGGGGCAGCGTATGCAGGACATCGAAGACAGGCGCCAGGCAGGCGGTGCCGTCCATGAGCCAGGCGGCACACGGCTGGAACAGCTGCTGGGTGCTGTTGTTCACAATATGGCGCTCGCAGTGGGCGGCCATGGTGAGCGTGGGCTGTTTACAGGTGGACACCAGGCAGCGATTGCCAATCCCTCTGCAAAAGAAAAACCAATTCGATTAACACCAGAAGTGAAGAGCAAAACACGAAGGTGTACTTACATGCCCTGCTGCTGTCCTGCGTGATCCTGATATTTGACCAGCATATTTTGGACGCACTGGAGGCGCTGGCGGGCCGCTCGCACTGGCAAATCCTGCAGAGATCGAGTGGACTGTAGCTGCAGCGCCTGACGCCTCAGCATACCCTTGCGGACGGCAATCCGTTCCTCCCGGCGATTGCTGGGCGAGAGGGGAAAGTCAAGGATCATATCCCTGCCGGTGGTGTGCATCCAATGCTGCTGCAAACAGTACGGCGAGTCTGTCGCATTGTCCGTCGTCTCATTTTCGTTGATCGTCGCAGAGTAGCGCTTGGAGGCGGCCTTACGCCGCCGCTGGCGGACAGCAGGTTCTGTCTTGTCTGCAATGGGTATGGGGGGTACAATCGGATTCGGTTTCAGATCCTGTGGTGGAGGTGGCTTTGACGCTAAATTCTTCTTGGCGACGCTCGCTGCATTGTTGGTTTTGTTGTTGTTGCCTCTTCTGCCGCCAGCAGCAGCTCCTGGCGTTTGACGTTTTGGCGCGGCGTTTGCATTGACGGCAGCATTAGCATTGGCAACTTTGGAAGACATTTGTTCAGATTTGATGGATGCTGCAGGATTAACGGGCGGGTTGAGGGGTGTGTGAAGCGAACACGTTGCCTGTGTGGCTGCTGCAGGGGTGCTGCCTTCTGAGACGACCAGCAGAGTACCCGCAGAACGCACAGCAGATCCCAGGGAAACAACTGGAGCAGAAGCTTTCGAGCTGGGAGCCAAAGCTGGGATGCCAACAGCTGGCTGCTGCGACTGCGGCAGTCGATGAGCCAGTAGCGGTGGCGTTGTCACCTCTGGTGGAGTTGCCGGCGGCGTGGGTAGCAACATCTTGACTCCGTTCGGCTGGGCTTGTCCTGCTGGTGCTGCTGCTACTCCTCCTACTCCTGTTCCGGCCATCAAGACTGGCGGCTTGCGAAAGATAACATTGACGGGTATCTCATTGAGATCGCTATCATCCAAGCTGCTGGTGGAATGTTTCTGTTTCTGTGGAGGAGCGGCTGCTGCTGGCGGAGGAGCCGCCGCTTGGACTGTTCCCGTATTGAACACCGTCAGTGGTGGCGGTTGTGTCAGGTTGTACGTTGTAGTTGTTGTCCCTATCGTCTTGTTCAGTGACTCTACCATGTGGTTATGTTGCTTGTTATTGTTATTGTTGTTCTGGCATGTCAGCGGCAAGGACTTTTTCTTCTTGAGGCACTCTACCTTCTGCAAGTGCTGGGCCAATGTGGTGTGATGGAACTTCGACGGCGGCAGGGGCAGGCCACCCTTGGGCGAGACAATCGGTGACACCATGGCGGTCACAGCTGCTGTGGGTGTCAGAGTGGGCGAGGGTAACGAGGCGGGCGATGTAGGCGGACTGGCCAATGAAATGGACACAGCCTGGAGCTGATGATGGTTCTGCTGCTGCTGGTACGGGTGCTGCGGCTGCTGCTGCTTCTGGCTGATGTCCAGAATGAGCGGCGTCTGCCACAGCGAGGGCGTATGGGAGTAGAGAGGTGGCGGCGGCGTAGGTGGTGTGGGCGGCTGCTGGCATGCCTCTGCTGCTAGTTTCTCCTGCTGCTGTTGCTGCGGCCGCACGATGCAGACGTTGGTAGCCCGCTTCGGTGACGCTTGCGCTTGCAGCGGCAACTGCGCCGGCGACAAAGCTGGCTGCTGTCTCTGAGATTGCGTGACATTATTGAAATTCGTTGTTGCTGTTGCTGTTGTTGTTGTTGCTAAAGACGCCTGCGCCTTTGCGGTTGCTGTTGCTGCTGCTGCTGCTGCTACTGCTGCTGCTGTGGCATTCAGCTGTGCCGCAAGAGTGGCCTTTCTGTTGCTTGCCCCAGCTGTTGCTGCTAGCCTCCTATTGTTGCTGTTGCTGTTGCTCTTGTTGTTGTTTTCGCTTAAGCGGGCTCGCGATTTCTACAAACGCGCAAAAGACAAAAGATACGTGTTAGAGTTTGACATGGAAAAAAGGGTTAACAACTCTTGTCATGCCCTTGCAGTGGGGGGAAGGGGAGGAGTGCTCTGCAACTAGTATAACTGCAACTGAGGGCATTGTTAGATTGTCTACAAAAGGCCCGGCTAGCCAGCGACAATGCATTCCACTTATAGCACTTACCTGTGCATTGAATAGAATTGGCGGCGCGACTGAAACGGTCTCTGTGAATGCATACGGATCCGAGTCCTCTGTCGTCGTCTTGCCGGCGACGCTCTCCCCCGGCGTCAGCGTGGCTGCTGTTGCGGCTGCTGCTGTGCTTATTGCTACCGCTGCTGCTGTGGCAATTCTTTTGGTGGCTGTGTTCCTAGCTAGTGCTGCTGCTGCTGTTGCTGTTGTGGCTGGATGAAATCTGGACACTTGCTGACATGACATGTCCAATGTGAAGCCGTTGCCGCTCTCGTCTGTTGGTCCTCTCCTCGTTCTGTCTGTCCCCGCTGTCCCGTCTGTTTCTGTTGCTGCTGATTGGTGCCTGGTACTTGCTGTTGTTGTTGGTTCGTCGCCTGACTTTCGTTATTTGATCTGTGATACGAAGAGATAAAGAAATAATGAATCGATAAGTCAGCGGAAATAAAAGCAGCAGCCGGCCTGAGACGCCATAACAGGGCGTTGTCACGTGCTCTCCAAAATGCAGTCACACATGCATTCACTCTCACCCACACATCCACAGGCACTCCCCTTCGCTCTCTCTCTCTCTCTGTCTTTTTCTACGACGCACTCACACACACACACACACACACACACACAGCCAGGGGCTGGGGGAGTCAAGGAGAAACGAATGCGATAATAAAAACAAACTACAATCAAAATAAATAAATCTGTTTCGTTCGTTCGCTGCTTTCTTTCGTTGCTTTCCTCTGTGTCTGCCTGTCACTCCTCCCCCCTAAACGGCACAGTCCCTCTCCCTCCCACCCCTCCCTGCGCTGAGTGCCGCCAACCGCTTCTTGGTACCGTTAATGCTAATAACAAATGCTGATAATAAAACGAATTCGCAATTAACTAGAAGGAAAGAGAAGCTGATTTCGGGCTACGAAGCATTTGATACCCTAATAGAGCGATAGATGATACATAGCTTCCGCTTGTGGAAAGTTTTTCTCAGAAATACCAGTTTCCAGTAATCCGAACTTGGCTGAGAACCCGACATACAGACATTTCTAAATCGATTCCAGAATAGATATGCTCTATGGGGTTTTCTACGTTGCAAAAATCTGTTTAAAAATCAAAATACCTCCTGCAAGAGTATGAGTATATGATAAATACAGCTGCATACATATAAATAATACATAACGATGCCATAGAGCACAGTTTGTTTGCAAAAATTTGCATATAAAAGTGTATCTGTATACACTATGTACATACAAACAGGCCCGTATATAAGCAACAACAAAAGAAATTGCGTATAAATAAATGAATAATGTTGAACTTAGGAAAGCAACAATTATTGGGGCTACACGCCACGCCAGTGATCGCAGTGGATCGCAAGTGCAAAAGAACGAGACAGAGACAGAGCCAGAGACGATGCACAGTGTGGCCAGATGAGCGGCAAATGGGGCCGTATTACTGGACTTTTGAAGCGCACAAAACGAGAGGGGCAAATATAGGAGATAAAACGATCATAAAACAAGAAGTAAAAACATTTATTTTCGTAAGAATTTCCCCACCATTTAAGAGATAAACAATCAATTTTAACACATCGATTTTTGTGGAAAGCCTTAAAGTAAAAATAGAAATTTGTTAACCGTTGCTGTATTATCTTGAGGGGCATTACCAATAAATCCTAAGATTCGACAGATTTACTAAACAAAGGCCTTTATACGACTAGTTGCTTTGGAAGCTTTATGATATGCCGATTCATACTTTTTAGCGACCAGCAACAGGGCTCTGTTTTTGAAGCTGATTAAGGATAGAACAGATATCTAACAAGGGGTGTCTCTTATTTACAAATTATAAAGCCCTCCTCATAAAAATATTCCGTCACAGTGTGCACTTTCAATGACTTCATTGTCTTTTTTTTTTTTGCATTTTCATTGCATTGCACTTTGATTAGTTTCACACACACAGGCACACACATATTGATTTCCATTTCCCTCGATGCTTGCATCAGGGGAGGAAAGCCATTTCATGATTATAACCGAACAACGTCCAACTTGTCGCTGAATGGGTGATGAGGGGAGCACTGCCTCTTTGTTTGCTTATGTTTTCTTAACATGTTCTGCGAAAGAAGGAAATGACTTTGAAAGCATTTGTAAGATTCCCTGCATAACACACACACACAGAGGGCCCCCACACAAGTGCTGGGACACCCCCCCTTCTTGTACGTGTGCCTGAGTGCAGGAGTGTACGTGACAGTTTTGTTTATGATTTCGTTTTATTTATTCATTGCGAACCGTTAAGAAGAGAGACGCGAGGGCGGGGAGTGGTGAGGCAAGGCTAGGCGGGGCGGGGCAACATGATACGCACGGCATTGAAATCTTTAAGGTTAAAGACGAGCGAATACGCATTCGCGATTCACGGATACACCGACCAAGCCTCGTACGCACCACGCAACAGAGAAGCAGAGAAACAGAGACGAAGAAACGCAGAAACGGACAAGTACATCAAATAAATTCCGACCAAAGGTTTTTGATCTCAAGAGTCTGTCCACCAGCACGGGAAGAGAGGAAGGAAGACCGAGCAGAGAGAGAGGTAGAGGGAGAGACTACGACGAGTTGTTTTTAACAGACAAATAAAAGAAAGAACGACTGAGAAACCACACGAAAGCAGACTGTCGATAATTGCAAATAATGACGATGCTGGGAATTTGTTATTGTTTGCTTTTGTTGCTGCTCGAGCCGTTCTGTTTGGTTCGGTTTTGGTTTGCTTACTCTGCGATCTCGCTCGCTCCCTCTCTCTTGCTCACTCTGGTCTCTGTCCATCTCCATCTCTGGCAAAGCCAGTCGCGAGGTTTTTGGCCATTTTAGGTCTTAAATGTTAACTCGTTTTTTTCGTTCGACTTGGAAACACGCTCGAATGTCGAATGATAAGAGGCAGAGACAAGAAAACAGCCAAAGAATACCAAGACAAAAGAAGTCGAGGCAGAAAGGCTAAAGCTAGTGGCAAGACATCCAAGACTCCAAGTAGAAAATAACAACAATTAAATACGTGTAGAAGCCTTACAAATCATTGTTGTTGGAGCTTTAAAAGAAAATGAGATCAGAGATCTTTAAAAGATATCTAATTGTTGTCGAAAGGAAGACGGGAATGGAAAAACTCCTGGGCATCATTGGTAATTTCCACTTATTTTAAAGGTAACAAACAAGGGTACTATAATAACATATGATGAAAAATTTCCATCGGTTTTGTCTTTGGAAAGGTGCGTAACCTTTTTCCAGAACTCTGCGCATTGCTGCTGCTGCAGGCAGCCACAAAATTTTCAAGAAACCCCGCGTTGAAAACGAGTGCCCTGGCACATGAAGGTTGTTGGCTTAGGAAACTTTGTCTGCTCAAAGGTCTGCTGGGTAAACGAGCTGTACAAAGCCCAGCCCAGCCCGAGCCCGAGCCCAGCCACAGCCAGGCTGATAGGCGGCAGCAAAGCAGGCAGGCAGAAAGCCGGTCTAGAGGTTAATTACGAGAGCAAAGCGTTTGCAGCGTTACGCTTACTGAGCTACAGCAACAGCAACACATTTACAACATAGAGAATAAAAAACCAGAGATATCCGTATAGTAGTAGTACCAGTTGAACATTTATGGACTGGACCGATAGTACGTACTACATTTGTAGTTGCAAATACTCTGGAAAGGCATACTTCTTAGGGCCCTTCAGGCATTTAGCATCCAGCATTCGGCATTCAGCATCTGTCGACGCAAAACTAAAATTACATTGAAATGCACATTGCAAATGCAGGAAAGGCGACGGAGACGACGAGCCCGAGCCCGAGCCCGAACCCGTTTGCTGTCGTTGCTGCTTCCTTCATAACCGGAAACTGAAGGCTAAATTGTGTAAAGCTAAATATAAAAAAAAAGCTATATAATATAATGACGACAGCGACCGCCACTGCCAAATGACGGAAGAGGGAGAAGAGGACGAAGAGGCAGAGGCAGAGGCAGGCTGAACGTCAGTTGGAGGCAAAGGCAGGCTGAAACCGCCGCATCGGCAGATGGAGGCAGGCTGAAACCACCGCAACGGCAGATGGAGGCAAAAGGCAGAGCGCCAAGAGGCAGGCAGGCAAGCAGGCAGCCAGCGAAGCCAGACGAGCTCTCAGGCTCCACTTCAGCCCGTCCGTCCACTTCCCACTGAGGTTTCTGCACTTCCAGAGCGGTATTTATGTGGGGGATGGTCGGGGATAGATTGTTGATAGAGCCTGGTGGGATGGTGCAATGGTGGGTTGCGTTGTTCCATCACCACCGACCAGGTTAACGAGGTTAGACGCATAACTTCCTGTTCCTTCTGTTTCCAGACAGGTTTAAGAAACTGTGTTTGAGGTTGTTGCTGCCAGAACCGAACTATGACCCGCATATAATTATTCCAAGATCTGAGGCGCTTCGAAACTAGGTTGAGGGAATATTCCGTTTTGTTGTTGGGTGTGTGTAATCCATGGTGTAATATAGGAGGTGGGATCCGTTTCCACAGTAATCCAAACTCCGAAAGGTTTACAGTTGTTTTCTGTGCACACTGAACGAGGCGGCGCAGCTGTCGCAGGTACTAGCGGAAAAACACAGACACCCGAGCACACACACGTATATGTTTATACATATGTTCCGTTAAAGCCAAAGATAACGTTTGTCTGGGTCTCTCGAACCGCAAGATTTTTTTTGGCAAAACAAACACACACACTCATATGCACAGACACAGCCCGGAGATAATCATGACTGTCGGAAAACGATATTAAGAGCACCACAAGGCACACCTCTGCTCCTCTCTTACACATCTGACACCCGCATTAATACATATGTACGAATGCATATGTGCTCATTGGTGTGAGAGAGTGAGAGGCCAATAAACAAATCAACAAAAACTAAACAAAACAAATTACAAATTCCGTGTAAATGAACTTTGGGGGGAAGTAGCGCGACGAGCGTTTCGAATTCCGTTTTAGCGTTTTGTTTGTCATCCGTTTTCACACTATTTATTTTATTCGTATATATTCATGTATGTATATGTATATGTAAATACATATGTGGAGCGCACTCGAAAACCGCTGTTGCCGGCGTTTTTATGATTTCTTTTATTCTTGCTGGTTCTTCTTCATCCGTTTTCAAAAGCGGCGGTCTCGCCCTCGCCCTTTTTTCTCCTTCCCTCTTCCCCTTTCACTTTGTCTCCCCCCCACCTTATCCGGCTGAGCACTTGTGTATTCGAACCGTGTAATTGCACTTGCACTGGTTTGGCCTATGGTGGAACAACTATGAATGATTTTAATCAACTATTTTTAATTGCTGTTAGATGCCTTTTACATATATACTATGTATACCGAGTAATCAATGCGCGCCGTCTTTTTCTTTGATGCAAAACAAGAATGCGTCACTGCCAGCAATCAGCGCAACACTCAGCTCAGCTCAGCTCACACACACACACACACATGCACATGCTACACACACGCAAAGAGAGAGCACCGAGAGCGAAACAAAATTTACCCAACCTGATGACGAGCCAAACTAAACTGGCGCCGCAGCGACGCGCGCAATATACCCAACCTCAAACACTCACACATACCACTGCGCGCACACATGTACAGACACATACATTGCCAATTACGCCAGCACAGACCTGGGAATTTTTCTTGCAGCAAAATTTTTTCTTCGCCCTGCAATTCCACTTTCAAATACAATTTTCGCCTTGAAATCTTTTAGTTGCAAACTCCAGACGATCTCTCAGCTGTAGGTGAATATATTTTGTAGCACTTTTTTGTGTTTCGCTTAATTGGGCATCGCTTTAAATGCGTTTTATTATTAATTTTCAGTTCAGAAGTTGAGAGAAGACAACACGCAACTAAGATGGCGGACAACTCTGTGCAACTGTATGGGTGCGTGAGTAATTTGGGTGTGATTGTGTGCGGAGTTGCCAGACCGTTGCGTTCGATAAAGTACCGCGCAGAGTCAAAACTGTAAATGATAACGTTTCCGAAATATTTCAAAGGAGGACAAAATCTGTTCATCTCCCCGACTTTTGGGGTGGGAGAGGAGAGAGATTAAGAAAACAAAATTAAACCAAAAACATGGGTCACCCAGTTGCACAATTACGATTATGTTATCTGGATCTGGCTCTGGCTCTGTCTGGGGCTCTCGGGGGGTTTTCTTTAATTACGGGTCTAACAACTCTCAATTCAAATTCCCAGCCTCAGTCACAGCCCACATCTTGTCGCAGGCCGTCGAATCGAGTCGGGGCGATCGCTAGCCGCACATCGATTCAGATTAATATTCATATATCTCTAATCAATCCGTCGCGTCATGGGAAGTTTTTCTGGCCGACGCACAGCTGCTGCGGTGGTTCTTTTTCTGGCTGTAATTAGCTCGTTCTCATTGAGATTGACCGGTAGGCGGGAGACGGAGCCGGGACGGGATCTAACTTTTGTAAACACGTTTGGCAGTGACCTTAACATTGTATGCTTTCTCCATGTCCACTTGCAGCTCAGGGCACAGACAACTGCATATCGAGGACCCAGAATGGAAGGACGACCGGCAACTGCATCTCCATCAAGGAGTGCGAATACTTTATGAAGATATTGTCATCCGTGAACCTAACCCAGAACGATCGTATACTGCTGCGCGACAATCAATGTGGTGTACGCAGCCGTGATGTTCCGGTTCAGGTAAACGGGGATACCCAAAAGCGATTCAAGTCTCACTTAACCGCTGAACTCTCCAATGGTTCATAGGTATGTTGTCCCAGCACGGTGGGCCTGGGTGCACTCGCTCTTCCTTTGCTGCCTAAGAACTGCGGCTCTGTGAGGTGGCAGCGCACAAACGACACGGAAACGCGGATCAAGGAGTTCCCCTGGCTGGCCCTTATCGAATATACAAAGGGTGAGTGTACCCCCAGATAGCAATTACCCCTCATGGTCACACCTCAACCTTTCGCAGCGTCAAAAGAGAAGATCCATGCCTGCGGTGGAGTGCTTATCAGCAACCGCTATGTGCTAACGGCGGCTCACTGCGTGGCCAATGCTGAGGCCGATAATCTGCAGATTAGCGCCGTGCGACTGGGGGAATGGGACACGAGCACGAATCCGGACTGCCAGTTCGACGAGCAAACGAAAATCGTCAATTGTGCTCCCGTCTACCAGGACATTGGCGTGGAGCAGGTCATCAGCCATCCGCTGTACAACAAAACCGACCTGAGCCAGGTGAACGATATTGCCCTGATACGCCTGGCCCAGCCAGCCATTCTCAACGAGTTCGTAGAGCCCATTTGTCTGCCCAACAAGCAGCTGCGCGCCGACGAGCTGGAGGGTCTGGTCACCGAGGTAGGCGGCTGGCAGGCCAGGTCAAGCTCACGCATGAAGAAGAGCACGGTGACGATCACCTCGATTGAGGATTGCCAGGAGAAGTACGCCCGCCAGAATCTGCACATCCAGGCCTCGCAGCTATGTGGAGCCGCCAACGCCAACGAGTGTCATGGAAATGCAGGTGGACCCCTGATGTTGTTCAAGAATGGTGGCTATCTGCTTGGTGGCTTAGTGTCCTTTGGGCCCGTACCATGCCCAAATCCAGACTGGCCTGACGTCTACACTCGTGTGACCTCCTACGTTGATTGGATAGAGGGCCAGCTGAAGGCATAGGTGGAATCTATTTCCTTACTATTATTTTTTTGACATACAATTGCCTTTGGCAGCTATGAAAACTGGTCAGCCTTACTTATATTTGGGCGCCTGGCGTATGCTCGACGTGCCAGAAATTTACATTTTTTTGATCGTGGTTTATGCGGTATAAGAGGACCTTTATTGGTCAGTGTCGGTCGTCCAACCGGAAACGCGCGGAAACGGATGTTTGGGTACGCTCCATGGACACTAAATGTTGCTATGTATCGTTCTTTTTAAATAGTAAAATACAGCGAATACACAGACCACCTTTCGGATTTTCCCGCTCTTCGTTTTTGAATTTCGATAGATTCGTAAATCGTTTTCACCCTATTGAAAATTTGCCCATCACTTGAAGTGTGTTTCCATCCGCTCAGATCGAGCGATGGTCTTTTTTATGTTTAAACGACTATTATAATATTATAAATAATAAGAACTGTACTAAAATAAATTGCAGAGCAAGGTGAAAGGATAAAAAAAATATGCATAAAGCGAGTCCGTGAATACCGCTGTTTTAAAAAACTCTCCGCTCAACCCGCGATTCCCCTAACCATGGTATAACTATATTAGGTGGGGACAACTCAGAACTTTAATGGTCGTATGACATCGGACTTCAAGTTAAAACAATGAGACAAGATTTAAAAAGCTTATGGGAGAAAACAGAAGGAATGTGTGAGAGGTATTTATAATCGAGCTTAACGAATTTTCATCCTCTGTCCTCTTTCGTTTTTTTTGTTTCCCCATTTTGCTAAAACCTATTTTTAAACTAAATCCAACTAAAGTAAGTATTTAAAATAAGCCAGTCAAGTAGACAATTGGTTCCTTAATCGGATAAAATTATGTGGGCAGGGCTAAATGTTCTTTTAAGCTAGTAATATTCCACGGAATATAAAAATCGAGGAATATATATAAAACAACTTGAATTCGTCAGTATATTTACGGTATATTTTTAAGATGAGACCGTATATTTTGGTATTTATTTGAATCGGGTAGAATCTGTAATAACCGGTTGACAACAATGAGTCCCATTCCATGCACACATACCCTGGGGGAAATGGATGTTATAGAATTGTGAATATGTTTGTCATCCCAGGCAAAAACAATTTATTTTCAATATATTTTAATATTATTCAATATTATTTAATATTATGTTCAATATTTCAACGATATTTTAAAGCTTTTTGTCTTCTTGTAGGGACCAAGAATAGGTATCAGGATCGAGATATGTATACACAACACTCATCATATACATGAATATGTCTAAAAAATGTCAATTTGAGAAAAGGTCTTTATTAGTTACGTTTTATCTTCATATCAATATTTATACCTTCATATAAAATTAACAAAATAGGTATACCCTATCACAGGTTCTACTACGAATTACACGCAATATAGCGACTCTTTTTTTGTTGAACTTTTTCGTTTATACCTTTTTTACAATAAATACAATAAAAGCAAGGATTAAAAACTATCTAATCTTACAGAAAATTTATTCATCAATGGAATGAAACTATGTGGGCATGGCTGAGGGTTTTAGTTAGCCAGTATTATTCAACAGAATATCAAAATTGAGAAATATATATAATTGAACTTTAAGTTGTCAGTATATTTACGGTATATTTTTAAAATGAGACGGTATATTTTGCTTTATTTCTGAGGGTCGGGCGGTATAATTTAATGATAAATGCGCAGTCACACTGGCTATATTGTTGTTGAGGAACCAAAATTGGCAAATTGTAATTAAAAAAATATAAATAATCAAAAGCTAAGCGCAAAACGTCTTTTTTGAGTGCTAGGTCGTCGGTATACAATGGCAGAAGCTGTAAAAACAGGTAAATATTGGCGCAGGGCCTCTCAGGAAAAATGAAAACGACAAATGGCGACTATCTCCCTGGGTTATTTTTTTTTTTTTGCTGTTGCTGCTGCGAGCGCATTAGGCAGAGTTGCATTTGAGGAGCTCTTAAGAGGCGGCCGTTACAGTTTTCGATTCGAATTTTCTTTCAGAGAGCAAATCCCAGAGGCCCCTGGATGGTGGAGGCGGGGGCGGAGGCAGTGGTAGCGGTGGTCCTGCCATCGGCAACCACAATTCCATGCCTAAGCGGAAGCATCGCCGCGGAAAGAAGTCTAAAATGGTGCCAAAAAAGACCAAGAATCAGTGTCCCCAGTGGAAACTTGATATGGCGTCAGGGCAGGGATCAACGGCAACCACCCGAACCAAACTACTCCGTTCACGTTCATTGCTGGTGCCCTACAACACGAATCGTTTCCTGATGGAGGAGCACATGTCCGAGGTGCCCAAGGACGACTCCGACGACAATTGTTTTGGCTCCCAGACTGAGGTCCTGTTCCTCTCCAAGGAGTTCTCCAATGTGTACGAGAGAGTACGAATTGAGCGCCTGGAAACAATGAGCAAAGCGGAGCTAATCCAAGAGTGTCTGCAAATCGAGGATCGGTATTCTAAGGCTCAGAATATCTCCAAGGAATTCGGGGCTAAAATTCGGGCTCTGGATGAAAAGATGCGTCAGCTAACGCGTGAGAATCAATGTGAGTGGCGCAGACTTCGAATCTAAACGTTTCACATAATTTCCAATTGTCTCTTCCCTTTAGTTCTGCGTTCTCACTTCCTTCGCTCGTGCTCCGCAGCAGCGGGGCCAGCAGCGGCAGCAGCAGCAGCTGCCTCACCGCCCTCTGCGGTTGCACCCACTGCCAGCTCTGCCTGCGAGCTGCAGGCACGGCAACAGCCCGCACAACAGCAGCCCACTCCCATGGACTCTTCCAGCGAGGACAGCGAGAGCGATAGCAGCAGCACAACCTCGAGCACCACGTCCAGCACAACCTCGAACAGTAGCGATGCCCATGAGATGGGCGTAGCAGGGCTCAATATTGCCAACGGCCATGTAGAGAGAAGCATCCATGAGGGACGTGGCAGCCGGTCCCGGTCTCGGTCGCCGATCCATCTGAACGGACATGCCAATGAGGAGGAGCGTCTCCGTCTGCTGGACCCCAATCCCATGGATGAGGATGGTAACTCGAGCGATGAGCCAAAGAACGGGGATGCTACGGACAAGTAAAACAGAGGGCCATCTCTCCCTCTTTATGTAAATAGAAGACTCAAAATATGTGGTAGAACTTGGAGACATCTGGACAGAACCTTGTTTAGTTGTTTAAGACATGCAAAACGCTTCAACTGTATTTTTTAACAATCATTTTTTATATATACACAATCTTCACCTTAGCATGGAAGCCACACTTGGACGCTTTGCATTGTGAGAAATATTTTAAGGTGTTGCTTCATAGCGTTAGCGATTTTAATGCATGTTTTTTAATGAGAACAGAACCGATTTGTGGATGAATAAAAATGTTAAATTTTGAATTCCACACAATAGAGATGGAATTGCGGAAATGGAAAGCGTTTTATAATCAGCAAATTCATAAATTAAAGACTATTGTGTTTTGAAATCTAAATCTGTATGGATAAATACTTTAAACAACACCTTTTTATCCTTTTAAATTTTGCATAGACCCCGAGACTTGGAATTGGCTACGATCAAGACCAAAGGGTTTTTCCGACGCACGGCCTTGAAGCAGTCAATCGCGCAGCTCGCCAATCTTCTTCGGATGAATGGCCAGCTCCTCACTGCTGGTGGGGGAAAAAATTGAAATCCAGTTTTCGCTAACTGTTGGCCGCGGCTCTCTTTTTTCCCCCTATCTGTCTTTACCTTCATCACCACTGATGATCCACTGAGGCTGAGGCGAGCGTAGGCGTAGAAATTCTATTTTGATTCCTTTGGCTGATTTACCCTCTGAGCCGGCGGTGGTCTACGTCAAGTTTAACTCACTGAAACCTCATTTTATCCATTTCTTGTATGCATTTATTTCTGAATTAATTGCATTCATTTTGCAAAATTCAAATTGTTGAACTTTCGCGCGCCCAGTTTTTGTTCTTTCTGAATAAATACACTATTGCCTGACAGAAATAGACAGAAATAATGTGCTAACGCATAGTTTGATGGAGATGGTCACACTGTTCAAATTCAAATATTTGAAATTGTAGTAGAAAATGAAGCGCAATTGTGGATTTTACTTTTCGTTAAATATATATTTCAACATAACGTATGAGATAAATTTGTTTTGATATCGGCTTTATATATGTAGGGAAAACATTGAGACATTTATAATTGATTTCGCTATTGGATCAACTCATTTGTTCTTTTATATTCCGACTGTACAACTTCTTTAGCGGGTTTGTTTCTCGTGGCGGGTGAGGCGGCGCATTTGTTGTGACAATTGAACTTCTTTGGTTTTTATTTACAAAAGCATATATATATATATATAGCGTATAAAGATATACATAAATACATTGATGGGGATTACCATAGAATAGAATATACATACATATATATCGCTAGGTCCTAAACTAACACACTTCACATGCAGAGCTTAAATCTTAATCATTGAGATACATAGTACTTAGCACATGAGTAGTCAAGCAGCGCCTTAGCCTTACATCTAACTAGTGGGGACATCGGTAGAGGAATGAATTTAAACGACGCGCTAGGCTCCATCATCTTCGTCGTTGTCGAAGTCGTAGTCGTAGTCAGTGCCAAATAAAATTTGATCGTATCTTATCTAAAAATTTAGCTTAAGACTTGTTTCCCACAGAGCAAGGATCAAAACGGATCAACGGAGGGATCTTGACCTAGACCTACAGCTGATCCCTGCTCCATGTCTATTCCTTAGTCTACTTGCTCGCCTCGAAGCGCTGCGTCAGCGATGCAATGTTGGACTTTGGCGCCGCCGACCCCCCGCCTGCCTTCACTGTTGGTGGCGTGGGCACTATCGCAGAGCCCGCTCCGCCAGGGCCTCGCTTTCCTAAGCCGCCGCTGAATGATGGCTTGGCCGAGAGCGGCTTGGGCTTCTGTATTGTGGCCGATGGTGCAGCTGTCGTTCCATTGGGTAGTGCTTTTGCTGTGCTCTTCATGAAGGACTTGGGACGCGTTGAATTGCCAATGCTGCTACCAGTCCGTTTTGGCAGGACGACTACTGGCGCTGGTGTCGCCTTGCTGCTCGCCTGCGTCGGCTTGAAGCTAGAGAAGGCGCGCGAGGGCGATATGTCCGAGAGGGTGGGCGCCACCCGAGCCACGGGTGCATTGACAGCCGTTGAGCGTAGATATGTGGGAGCAGCCGCAGCTGCTGCTGTAGACTTATCCTCTGCCGGGGCAATCACGCTGCTTGCCGGCTTGGGCGGTGCCGGACGCTGGGGACTTCGGGGCGCCTCCATGGATGCGGTTTCCGCTGCCGGTGGAGTTGGCGCTGGCTTGCCGGAGTAGATGGAGTCTCCGTTGAGCTTTTCAAACTCATTCACGATCTCGCCCAGCAGTCCCATGTCTCCGCTGCCGTTGCTGGCCAGACTGGCCACCAGATCGCTGCGCTTGAGCGTCTGGGCCGCCGGCGGTATCTCGTCGATGACCGAGTAGATGTCGTCGTTGGATGCCCGCGTCTCCACACACTCACAGTCGTCGTAGGTGTTCTCTGGCGACATGTGGGTGGCTCCCACTGGACGCTGATAGCCCGAGGAGCTGACAGAATCCGTTTTCTTCAGAACCGGCGGTGGACGTGGTGGCGGCGACTTGGGTCGCGATGATCCGCCGCCGTTGTTTACTTGACTCTTGGGCCGTGGCAGGCCGGGCGGAGAGCGCATGGAGCCGAAGGTCTGCAGCGGCACCTTCTTCGTGGGCGATCGCATCGATTGGGCCCGCTTGACCAGGTTCTTGGTCTCCTCCTCGCGGGGCGTGGTCTCCGAATCCGAGTTCGAGGACTCGGTCAGCGGAGCAGCTGGCACGGGCATGGGTGCGGATATCTCCAGGGTCCGCAGACGCTCTCGGTCGATGTAGGTCTTCTCCTTGAGCGGCTGCTTGTCCTCCTTCTTGAGGAACGAGGCGAAGCGACGTATGGTCCCGTCCCGCTTCACGTTCAGCTTGGGATCGGCATGCAGGGGCACCGGTGGAGCTGGTGCCTGTCGATTGGGTGACAAATCCTCGGTGCTTCCTTTCAGGGGCACCAAGGTCCGAGTGCTCGAGTCCAGCACAGGCTGTGATATAATGGGGCGGGCAGTGGAGCCCGGATTAGGTGGTGGCAGTGCGGGCGCCGCTCTAGGCCAAGTGGCGCCGGTTTTTGTGCCCTCCGGCGATGTAGCTGTGCCCGGAAGAGTCTCCGTCTTGGCCACCGGCGGTGGCGGGGCCATGCGCTGCGGCACTCCGTTATCCTGCTGCACAGTGGGCTGCACAAAGGCCACGTTCGGACCGCTGTAGTTGCTCACCGGCGAGGTGGCGGTCAGGGGGCGCAGGGTGAATCCCTGGAACTTTCCGAACATTCCAGCGCCGGCGCTGGGATCATTCGAGTCACTCGGCGACTTCAACAGAGCCGAGTTCATGTCGTCTGTGCTGCTGGGCGTCGACTTGGGCAGTCCATTGCCCGGCGGTGGTCCGCTGCCATTCTGATTGGAGCGCGAGGCGATGGGTTTGCTGGGCCCCGATCCAGAGGTCTTCAAGCTGCAAGGATATCGAAATATTGGATTAGAACGCATGAACATATGGTAAATCAGGGGCTCGGGGTCCTTGGGGGGATATTTGAGTGTGCAACATACCAAAACAGAAGAAGAATCGTGCGGTGGGTAGAAGGGCAACAAAACCAACACCAGGCAGGGCAGGGCAGGGCAGGGCAAGTGTCAAGTGTCAAGGATACAGAAGCAGGCTTACAGTAAGGTAAAGAGATACATTCAAGTGCAAGGCAAACAACCAACACCAAAAAACGGATTAAAAACAAAAACATTATTTATTCAAACGTACGTACAAAACGAAATCAACTAAAACTAAGTAAGTGCATACAGAACACACACATTAAGGCTGCGTTAGTTGTGGATTAGTGCTTTAGACACACAACAAAGAGAGTGCAAGGTGAAAGCGGGTGAGAGGTTAGCATGGGGGGGAAGTAGTCTCCTCGGTGCACCGAAGTCGGGGGATACCCTGGCAGATGTCACAGAATAAAATATATATATATATCTCTGGATCGTTCAAGATCTGCCTTAGAGTTATCTACTCTATATAGGTGTGTAAGACTTTCACGAGTATATGGCAGTAAAATATTCCTCCTCGTATTCATTCAGTTAGTATTCGAAATATTCGATCTATCTATACTATAAACCGATCTCTTATCTGTGTTTGTGTTGCTGGTTAAAAAGAGAACCATTCCTGGCACTCCTGCCCTAGTATTTGCAAAAACAACATACATGGCGTGTGCATAATACGTAAAATTTGTGCTGAACTCGAGTTTCGCTGATACCGGGTTCCTTTTTTGTTCTGGTGGCTAACTAGCTCCCAAATTCAAAAGGCCTGACCACCGCCGAATTTAAAAGTCGTTGTATTTAAGTATCATTTCACTTAAATGCCATAGACGACCCGGGATATTCCATATTTAACGTTGAAAATTGATTCTATAAAAATACTATAAATACATATTGAATGGCATATGGGAAGTTTTCTGGCGGTATTTACTTAAGGAATTAATTGAGACACGAGTCTGATAAGACGTTCATGGGTTTGAAAATCTATATAAGGGTCTGATTCTCCATATTTATGTATGTATATACAGCATCCATTAAGTGCAAGAGAGACCCAGAGAGATCTGACTATGTACGCCTAAGGCTATGCATCTTCCATATCATATATGTATGCAACCAAAAAGGTATCATACCACATTCCATATCCATAATAAAATTACTTTAAGGCCTACATTTCTCACTGAATTATTTGAATCCTTGTTCCAAAGAGAAGCATAGGTTACCCTGAAGACTATCAGATTGAGGTCCGAAAATGATTTCTTTCCCTATTTATAATAATTCTACGCTCTGTAGATCTGCAAGGATATCGCAACACGCACTCGAAACGCCAAAAGCCAAGCTCAAAGTCATGCAGCAATCTGTTGTTGGGGCAGTGTGGCAGTATAAGAAGCGATTGCAGCTCATATTTTCAGTATATATTTGTGCGTTTTGTTTTGTTTTTGTGATTAGTATTTGGCGCACCTCGCGGGGTCGCTCTGTATGTACGTGGCGCCTTCGGTGAGGGCCAGAGGATTCGTGGTTGCATGCAGACGCGGTGCCGTGATGTCCAGCTTGCGTCTCAGTGTGTTGTTGCTGGTGTTGCTGGTGTTACTGGTGTTGTTGTTCAGTGACTCTGTGTTGTTGTTGTTCGAGTGTTGGGGCGTGGCATTCAGCTGCGGCGTGGAGAGCTTGCGCCGCATAGTGGCCGCCAGAGGCTGCACCACGTGGCTGCTCTGGCTCCTGGGCACGCAGGGCGGCCGCGGATGCACTGCGACCGGGCTGCTGCTGGACTTGAGGACTCGCGGCAAGGTGGCGTGTATGTTAGTGATGGTGGCAGGGGCAGTGGCCGTGGCAGTTGCCATTGTTAGGTTAGGTGCAGGGTTAGTGGTGGGTATGGGTATGGGCGTGGGTTTAGTTGTGGGTGCGGGTGCGGGTGCATGTGGTTTGGGTGAGGCGCAGCTGCTGCTGCTGCTGTCGCTCGGATTGGAGCCGCTGCTGATGGACGTGGAGGTCGATACATACATATTGTCGGACAGCTTTCCGCCGGGGAACATTCCATTCTTGTGGCAGTGGTAGAGCAGCCAGGAGACAGCCACCAGGGGCAGCACCATGAAGAACAGCAGGCAGAGGAACCGCTTGATGCCCAGGGCACCTGAAACGGGGTAGGGAAACAAAATGGTTAGCCACCTCCAATCCTCCAACGGACTGCGTCAAGGACTCACCATTCGGGTCCGTGGCTGGGCCGCTGTCCTGGGAGCCGCCCGAGCCGGCCTTGGCGCACGACTCGCCGCCAAAGCCCACATCGCAGTGGCAGTGCCCCCGACTGTTGCATATACCGTTGCCGCTGCAGTCGTCCGGGCAGGGGGTGCCCATGCCGCGCTGGCGCACCTGCTCGACGGGCAGGCATCGCTGGTCCACGCACATCATGTCGTCGCCGCACTTGGCCCCGTTCGGGGCGAGGCCGGGATCGGTGGTCTGCAGCCCCAGATCCACCAGGGCGGTGCGGCAGGCGACAATCTTGCGGTCGTGGCTGACGTACGAGTGCGACAGGACGGCGGCCGACTCCATGCCGAACTCCAGCCGCTCGTTCAGGTGGTTGCAGTGCAGCATGCCGCAGTTCACGTGCCTCGCCTCGCACTGCACAAAGGTCTTGTTGAGGCGATTGTAGCCGCAGTTGCCCAGCCGCGTGCCCTCCATGTTCTTGTGGTAGCAGTGCACCGAGTTGTCCCCCGTGGTTCCCCACAGGATGCGGCACTGGTTGGCGTGGGAGCGGCAGTTGCCGTGGAAGCAGTACGCCTGTCCGCCGTCGCAGGGCTCCGTGTCGCGGCGATAGACGTCGGTGGGACAGTACTCCGACTCCCCGGTACAGTACTCGGGCAGGTCGCACTCGTTCTCGGCCTCGCGGCAGGCGCTGCCCGCCAGCTTGGGCCGGCACTTGTCCAGGTCGCAGCACTCGCCCGTGGCGCAGGAGGCGTTCGTGTGCAGCATGCAGGTGGTGGCATTGCAGCAGCTGTTGCGGCAGTGCTCGGGCAGGCCGCAGTCGCACTGCTCGCCGGGCTCCACGAACCCGTTGCCGCAGGTGGGCGAGTCGAAGAGCCGCTCCGGCTTGTTCCGCAGGCAGTAGTTCATTCCCCGCGAGAAGGCGATCGTCAGCTGATCGATGCTGCAGCTGCTCCAGCTGACGGGCACCACCGACGTGCTGGAGGCGGCCATCACGCACTTCTCGTCCGGACAGTGGCAGTCGGGCGAGTCGTGTTCCATCCCAAAGTTGTGTCCCATCTCGTGGGCCATCGTCGTGGCCACCATCGCCGTGACGGGGCTGTGCTGCATGCTCACGCCCCCGGAGTACTCGTATGTGCAGATGGGACCCTTGAGGGCCTTGCCCACCACCCCGCCCGCGAAGGTCTCCTTCGTGAGCAGCTGGGCATTGTCGTTGGGGTGTTCCAGCACCAGTTTGGTGCTCCGATAATTGAGGAAGTTCCTCAGCGTCACATCTCCGTCGCTGGAGAACTCAATCTCGTTCGATTCGTTCCATATGACCACGCCCACGAGGGCCACAAATATGTTCAGGGGTACATACAGCTATGGGGGGATATCAGAGTTAAGGCGTTAGTTGATGGATGGATGGATCGATGGTTGAATGTTTGGGTGGTTGGGTGGACTTACTGCATTCACAATGTTGGCCAGATTCTTGCAGTGCTCGTGGACCTTCTTGGTGCTCTCCCCAAAGTGCTTGAACACCTTGTTGTCCACCACAATGACCAGCTCCACGTAGCTCGAGTATTTGTTGGCATTGTAGGGTCCTCGGATCAGTTGACGGCTGTCATCGGCCTGGCGTCGCTTCCGACGCAGCAAGCGCTGGAATTCGCCGCCATCCAATCGATGTGGCAGTGAAGGTTTCTCCTCCTCCTCCTCCTCCTCGTCGTCATGGTCCTCGATGTTGTGGTTGTGGTTGTCCTTGTGGCTCTCGTAGCCACAGGTAGCATTCTGCGGATGCATGTCTGCGTGCCTGTAAAAGCAAATCAAAAGGTAATTCGATATTTTCCTGGTTCCTCAAACGTTAATAACGGAAGTGGCTGGGTCGAAGGTTCTGTTCTGTTCTGTTCTGTTTTGGGTTCCAGTTAAAGCAAATATTTGTGGCCCACAAATAGGCAAATATTTGGCCAACAAACGCCACCCCCCACCCTCCATACCCCCTGCGCCCTGACCCCCTGAAACCCAAACATTTACGGGCCTCACAAGTGAGCAAACAGCGTTTCGCCCGCGATTAGATAAGCGCCGGTTTCTGCTACGGATCGAAGGGTTTGCTGGTTCCCTGCTTTCACAAATCGAAGAATGGGCATCGATTAGATAGGCCTTCGGAGGCGAAGACAGCAAAGGATCGAGGGATGCCTTGAGGTGGAAATGTACTCGTAGAGATATCTAATCACTAAAGGAAGGCAAGGCACTTGTAGAGTGACTAACATTACTAGTAGTAGTACAAGTAGTCATAGCTAAATGCTATGACTAATGAATTTCACTAGCGTATAGCTAGGGTTGAAGAGAGAGCCACAGAGAGAGTGCCAGACATGAAATAACCACCCTCTTTGGCTAAGCTACGCTGTGAGAGAGTATTCTTTGAGTAACGGATATAAAAAGTATATAAATTGTAGCGTACAATGTGTTGTAGGATAACCCCTATCAGCCAACAATGCATTCCTAGCCGATCTAAGGAAATACCGAGGAAATACCACATGAAAAGTATGTAGATCGTCGCTCGATCATTCTAAGTGTCGCATCAGGAGTATAAAGTCGTGTTCTAGAAAGTTCAACCCCTCTAAAGTGTTTCTCTTTCACACTCACAAGTTTCCTTGCCAAATAATAGTGATCTATAATTAAATAATATATGATATAGATAAATACTGTAGTATGACACCTATTCTAAACGAGCTGTAGGGCTTTGTTTCCCACACGAAAGCACCTGAAGGATTCGGCTTTTAAATTCGGTAGAGTAGGATTGGGTATACATATATGGGGCATCGCTCGGATACCGGATTATTCACGTGCTATTTGACACTGTCCACTAAAAATACACTCAAGGCGAGGGACAGAGAACTGTTGAATATTTCCCTAAAATTGTAGGCTATTTTGGACAATTCTAAACCATATCTAGACCATAACTAACATGTAAACCCTGTTATACGACTTCAAATGATTCAATATCCAAGCTTAATCGATTTGAAATGAAAAGTTCTTCTATAAATTAAATATTATATTTAGATTCAGTGATCAGACATTTAAAGAGCTCAAAAGAGCATGAATTTTATTACTAAACTCGACGAAAATTATCCTCAATACGATTATATTCAATCAAGCATTTAATAAGTATTTCATTAACATATTCCGGCTTTAAATTGTAATGTTTTCGTCTTCAATGGACCTCTCTTAGATATAAGATGATAAAAGTATAAACAATCATAATATTTTTGTATCAAAATGGTACTTTTAAGAGTGTAGAAAATGTGGGTTTCCCCTGTTGTGGATCTCCCCCGCTCGTGCCTTATTCCTTCATTAAATTAAAGCCCATCCACTTCTCAGAATTGAATTCTCCTTAAATTGTGGTCCAGTGCTTACCGTAGCAGATAGTGGTCCTCATGCAGTCGGCCAGTGCCATCGACATGGGGATGAATGGTATACGTTTGCTGGCCGTCGAAGACGATGCCGTTGAGTCCCCCGCCGCAGGTGGAGAGGGCCACAGTCGAGTCCGGTTGGCCGCGTATGTGTCCCTGGATTAAACCAAATGGAAATGGAAATTATCGCACAGCTCAGAGACACAGGGGGTGGGGGAGGTGGGGGGAGGATATGCAGGAGAACTTACCTGATAGTGGCATAAATCAACCTCAGTCTTGGTGAAATTCTGCACCACATGGCCTCCTGCTGCTGCTGCTCCTGCTGCTCCCCTGCTGGAGTTCTGATAGCGCAGAAAGTGGGTGTCGGGCAGGAGGCGATCATTGCGCTGCAAGTCCACCTGGACGCGCTTCCCCTCGTGGGTGTAGCTCAGGCTGATGTGCGGCGTGTGCAGGCCGTCCTGGAATGTCAGATAGCGATAACGAGATTAAGCCATTACCCCAGCGCGTTTACTTATGCCGCTTTTCCATGCAAATTGTGGGCGTGGAGGGCCACTCGAAGGTGCGAATGTGTAAGGTCCTGCCACGCCACAGGGGGGCTCTCCCCCGCCTCACATGTGTGTGGAATGGATGCTTGTTGAAACTAATTAAAAAGGGGGTTTGGCCTTTGCCCGGGCTGCCACAGGGTGCGGCCCCCCCCTCCCAGAAACGTAATATTTCGCGTTGAGTCTTCATTTTTGAGTTTATTTTGATTAGCCCTGCCATGACCTGCGGCTCTGGTGAAGTATTGGGCGAATTTTCATGAATTTTAAGGCATTTTTCAGGAAAACAGTCGCCCTTCCGCCGAGGTTCATTCATCAACTCATCAAATCTAAGAAAACTGCTCTAAAGCCAATTCCTTTGTCCCCACAAACTGTTGCCTGTTGTGGCTCCAGTCCTGCCTCCTTTTAGAAAGGACACTAATCATCCTTGGCAGCGACTACTCACCGCCGCATCCAGAGTGCTCTGCAGGTCCTGCCGTGTGCGGGCGTGCTGCACTTGGGGTCGTATCACAGTGTGTGTGGAGAACTCTTTGAGGGCAGGAAACAAGTCAGCGATGTGTGCTGCAAACGAGAAAAGAGATGGGCAAAGAGTTCATTAATAACTGATGTAAATGCTGTTAATTATAAACTACTTAGAGAACCACAGCCGCACGTTCCGTGTGGCATGGGGCATGGGGCATGGGGTGTGGGGCATGGGGCATGGGGTGTGGGGAAAGGTGTCTCTAATAGGCTTAGAGTCGCTGCCACAGCTGACAACTTGAGCCCGACATTACGGCGAGACGAATGCCGTAGTCTGACAAACATTTAACATGGTCGTGGGCCATGTTCGGGGCTTGTCGAGATGCCCCGATAAGACCTGGTATCTCGCAGAGCATCACTCATCTCTTGTGGGCCCTCTTTTCGGACTAAAATTAGCAAATTCATAAATAAATACGAGTATATGCACGAAGATACGGGCAGACAGAACACAGAACGCAGAACACGTCCAATTAAGGCGCCCCAGCAGACGGCACAGATGTCGGCCAAGCAACCCTCCTTGTAAAAGAATCTTACAGATACAGATGCAGACGCAGATGCAGATGCAGATGCAGATACATTCTGCACACCCCAGTAAAACAATAAACCGCATCCCAAACACCAACAAGAAACTCCTGTGTGTTCAGCATGCCCCATGCCCCATGCCCCAAAAACCCTGCCTCTTCAGACCTGCTCCAAAAGTCACTTTCCAGCGCCAAATGTCACACGCGTCAGGGGCTTATTTTTTGGTTTTACACAACGCGTCACAAAATGTTGAAAGTACCAAAACAAAAACAAAAACAACAAAAAAATGAATGTATTTTTATTTTTACCACGACCGCCGTTTAACGCAAAATCATGAAGATTCTCGGCCAAGTTTTTGTTTCTTATATGAAAATATATACATATGTATGTATTGTATTTATATACGCGTATTCTTTGTTGTATGTTTTTGCTTTTTCTCCCTTTTTGGCGAGACTTTGAGAGACTCTCTGGCTCCCGAGCACGAAAAGGGCTCTTGGGGGGCCAGAGCATCCAGAGTTCAGAAATTGCAAAGGCCAGTGGTTGGGATCGACTAGTGAGGAGTACCTAATACTGGTGTTGCGATTATGGAGAGTAAAATACCACAGTTTCATTGGCAAGACATTCACTTTCCACGTTCACACGTGACTGGCAATATTTCGTTCGGTTCAGTTCAGAAATCGGTACCTTTTCAGGTTTTGTGAAACAACTCTGGCCTTTCGCTTATGGTAGATTTGCACAGAGAATCAAAATCAATCGGATTCTTCGAGGAATAGCCCTGCCCTAGGGGAACAGCGCTATAGAAATACAGTTGAACCCCCATAAGGCGAACCACTATTATCCAATGAAAAACCTTGGACTTGTGGAGTCTTTCAGCTACAAAGTTGGACATATTGTAATCCCTGAATGCTGTTGCCACCCGTTTAAACTCGAAATATAAAGAATTCAAGTGACAAACGTTCGAGTTATGGAAGTTCCACTGTATTACTGACGTTGATCGATTGTCTGTGTGAAGAAGACAAAGAACCCATATATAGCTTTAGAATATATATACCCTGCTTACCCTGAACATTGATTGATTGAACACGATTTATGGTTGCCTGAATACCCTTTCTAATGATGAAAAATTCTCAAAAATCAACATTAACCAGATTTAGGGAAGACTATACCAAAGAAATATACATCTATGGGTACCTCTACATCTAGTAAGTGAAGATTTCTTGAATATCCGAAATATGGTATTATTTAGGAAAAAAGGTAATGGGTTAGGGGATATATTTAGATGGAAATTGATTCCTTTGTGACTGCAAATCTTAGGAATTATTACAAAATACTTCTTGTATCATTAATACTTACTTTCAAAACATTCACCGACTCCAGCATACCCTCTGAACTCCCCAAAAACTACTGGGTATGCGAAAAAGTTCTTTCCAGGTAAAAGCCTCACTCAAGAGTTGGCCGTTAACCCCCGTTTTTAATGTGACAAACAAATGCAGATAATAAATAACAGATAATGTGCAGAGAACCATATAAGGGAAATGGAACCGAAGAGAAAGCTTCCTGATGAAAAATATCCAAAAATGGATACGGTTTATATTTATGTGTGAGAAGGGTATGCGTTTTTCCTTGGGCTCTTGATGGATTTATTTCAGCAATAGACCATAAATAAATTGGCGTTTGGCATACATTTTTGAATGGTTTTTCATTTCCTCGATGAGTGGATGGTTTTTCCTTTCCTTCGATGAGTGGATGGTCTTGCCTTTCCTTCGATGAGTGGATGGTCTTGCCTTTCCTTCGATGATTGCCTGCTAAATTGTTTACTCATAATATTTTCATGCAAATTGAAAGACAAATTGAATTCCCAGAAGAGCATCAAGTGGCGGGGACAGGGCCTTGGATTACTCAGAATTGGGAATGTGGAGGAAAAACTACTTAGAGACAACATAAAAACGGAGCTAATGACTGCTGCCCAAAGACCAATGAAAATTCCTACCCTTCGCGCCATTCGGGGCAGTGCCGTCTCGTTTTCCATGTGTCGGCATCTGTTCGATGTATCCACAAAAGATGTGCATGTGTGCCCCCCATTTGTTGTCTATTGTTTACGGAAAACAATTAACCCAAAGCCCAAAAACGTGCGAGTGATTGATGGGCGGCAAAAGTCTAATGAGAGCAGAAACATAAACATGGAATTCACGTCACTGATAACACTGATAAGGAGCGAAAATGTGGGTTAACTGGAAATCTGATAGTCACGAATTGTGCGCGACAAATGGCGCCAGGAGGCGCCTCAAGGACCACCTCATTGTCCTGAAAAATGGTGCTCGGGGTAAGTGGAAACTCATTAAAACTAGAACACAACACACAGAGAGAGAGCACTCGAGAAGAGGAAACCCATCTTGAGCCCGAGGCAAACATATGGCGGATAAACCAGGCCAGGTCCGTCAGCGCCCCGAGGGCCAAAGAGCGCGGGTGTTGAGCGATGAATTGGGAGCATCGGCATAGGCCTAAAAATAAGGAACAAATTACAACAGACCGATGGTTGTTTGGTTGTTTGTCGTCGCATACTTTTCATGTTGATGCCCCGAAAGAGAGAGAGAGAGAGAGAGGAAGGGAGGATGATTATATGGCGAAAGGATGTGATGTGCACTCCCCGATAAACAGGGTTTCTTTGCCATTTGTTTGTTTAACTCTGGGAAACCTTTGGGGGGGAATATCTCTCTTGTCTAGGGGGAACCCCTCACTCGTCGTATAACCATCAACAGAGGCTGCAATAAAAATGTATTAATAACTGCCAGGGAGCGAGGGAGGGGCATAAAAAATGATATGTAGTCAATAAATAATCCCATTGAACTTCACATTGAAATTTTTCGTCTAGAGCGGCAGAATTTTCATATTTTTCAATTTCGGGGCCATTGCATTCTTCAATCATTGAAATATTTTAAATTATGACTCAAACTCGAACTCCATTCGGTTCAAGTTTTTTCGTTTGGGGGGGAAATGGAAACCATAAAGTTTCCAACACTTTACCAGATCCCCCCCACCCCTTCGTTCGAGAATATTAATAGAATCTGGCAGCCATAAACAGATTAGTGCCCCTCGAGGCAGAGGGGCGTGTCTGGAAGAAGGTAGGGGGGGGGGGGGGGGGGGGGGGGGGGGGGGGGGGGGCACCAAAAAAAGAAAAACAAAAATCGAATCGAATGTGCGTCTAATTGATAACCAAAGCGAGGGAAAATTTCGACTCCATTTGGAATACAAATTGGAAACGCATACGGCTGGCTTTTCCGTATAGTTTTTCTTTTTTCTTCGAACAAAAACAGTTCTCCTCGAGGGGATAATTGAATAATAAGAGAAAGAAAAGGAGAAATGTTCAATTGTTTTTCCAAAAACAAAACCCAAAACTCAATTGAAATACAGAAAAAGGAAAAGCAATAGAAAACCCCCCATTCATAACAGTTTAATTAATTTGTTTGGGTTCTTTTTTGGGGGGGGAGGGTGGGGGGATTCCCTTAAATTGAAAACATTTTTAAGTACGGGAAATTTAGATCATTTCAATGGATGGGTATGGACATATTTATTGAAAGGGGAATGGATATTATAGAAACCCTCATATGGTATTCCTCTCCAAGGCATAAATCAAACGATTTAAATGGCATAAAAATGTAATTAAATTATATAGAGGGGAAATATGATAAACAGAGTGATGATTGGAAGATCTGAAGATGCTAGCCATCGTGTTATATCTTTGAGGAGACTCCAATAAACAGACAGAAAACCAAGAGAAGTCCCTAAAAAAACATTTCATGTTTCAGCAAAATGCCCTGCTCAGTATTGTATCTAAATGATTTTTTAAACGCCAGCTACTGATCATCACATAATGAATACAAATTGAGTTAATCGGCGTTTACCCAGCTACCAAATGGGCCAAATCGGAAAGTAAATCTCACTCCTCCGCCGAACAGTGGCACAACCTGCCTTTCACCTCAATTTTCACCTGACAAAGAGGCGGGCAACAAATGCAACAGGCCACGCAATCCAACAGGCACGAACGTCATGCGAAATCTGGGCTAAGGCGAAACGCAAAGATAGCCATCAAGATGGTGCGATTTCTCATGGGAACAGTTGGTGGGAAGAGTCTCCTCTCTCTCTCTCTCTCTCTCCCACTCTGTAAGGCAAGGGGATCCGCTCCCCAGGGGAAGCATTATAAATTTTCTCTCCGTGGAGTGCAGACAGTGCTTCAGGAGACTTTCAAGTGGGAAGCCGAAAGCTTGAGACAATCCCAAGATGATGCCGTAATACTCCTCTACAAATGTGCCCATAAGCGAACGGCTACACCTACCCTTCTGGTGGCCTCTAGACAGCGTATCCCCGAGGATAACTACTCTCTTGGATTCGAGTTCTCTCATTAAAGAACTTTGCATGATGCTCACGTCTCTGTTGATGGATTTCAGTGCAGGTGAGAGACCCAGACAGAGCTCCGGCCCCTTCCCTCTCAGGCCAGACCCAGGGTCTTGTCAAAGTTCAAT